AAATAGTGTGTCGCTGTCCCTCTATATATCGCAAATAAAATGCTTTCAAACACTCTGATTATATGCTCTGCCTTGCCATAATCTGGATAATGTATAAAATGTAGTTGTGTAACGTGTTTAGGCTCCAGATTAACCATAAAACCCAGTAAAAAGGTTACTCGGTGAGGCAAACAGTACGCCTGCCTCAAGGCAGAGGGCGCTAGTGAGCCCACAGATTCTTGCGTTACCTATAATCTTCTTCGTCTTGTTTATATTTCCTTTACAATCCGCCTTATCAAAATGGAAGATTACATTTTCAAGCTGAGAAAATTCTCAAATCTGGACTTTCAATCACAACAAGAGGTAATAACTAAAGGAAGACCAACGCCGGAGCTGAAAGGTTTGCTTCAGACCACGGGAGCCTCACCAGCTGTCAACCTCACCGCATGTCACTGACAGACTTGCTTTGTAGCGAGTTTTATTTAGAGTATATCACTCAGTAAAACACTGAAAAAATTACCAGATATAAATGATTCCAAAACAATTATTGATTCTTCAGTAGTGCCACTAGGGGGCAGCCAACTACATGACAGTGACACCAGAGCTCACCTGAGAAGCTCCGGCCCCGCCTGGCCGTGGGCTCCCTGCTCCGGCCCCGCCTGGCCGTGGGCTCTCTGCTCCGGCTCTGCTGACGCTGCCAGGACTGTCCTGAAACAGACAAAGCATTCACACACAAGGTCACCAGCAGGGTGCACTGCAGCTAATCTCATGGAAATGAGTCTAGTGTTAGACAGGTGGCCCTAGTTTATTGAACATTAGGTCTAGACAAATTACCAGCATCACAGAATACAGAACATTAAGTTGTTACTTACACTTTTTTTAACAAAATATTTGCTGATGTCCTCATTCTTTCGTTTTCTGGGAGGCATTTTCACCTGAAACCAAAAACAATAAAGTGAACCGATGTTAAAGTGAGACATTCAAGCAAAGAACAGGATTTGGTTAATACACACATTTCACCTTAAATCCAGTTAATAAGTGACTGAAGGTCATTATATATCCAACAAAGACTAATCAGTTGCACCGTGACGTCAGTAGGGACACATCACTACTGTCCACACTCTCATCAAGTCAGAAATTAAATCCAATGCATTAATTCACTGTAAAGTACAAAAACATTACATATACCAGTGTCAGCTGACACACAAAGCTGTATGCAGTACACTGTACACTCACTGATAGGAGTGTAGTGCTGTGTCCTGAGTCTATTGTTTCTCACTACAGTGTGTTTGTTCTTACAGGAAAACCCTGATTTAATGGTTTCATTTTAGACAGACCCTGATCAGGGACAGTTGTACTGACTCACCCACACTCTCCACCCAAACCCTGAGGAAGTGGCTGGAAACCGTCGTGGAGTCAGCGACTAAAAGAACTTTGATGTTGACTTTTGGAAAGACGAGGAAAAATAAAGTTCAGCCGTGTTGTTAGATCTGTGTGATAAACCAGGAAATGGCAAACGCACATTATGTAACACCACCAAGCAAACTTCAAGATGACTAACAACAATAAAACCCAACGCATACTAAAGGTTTAGGTACCTTCTGAAGTACTACTAACATTATTAAAGACATGAGCAGCAGAAAACACATTTTTTCCTTTTCTAGTTTCAAATGTGTGACATCTTCCCGCCATTTCCTCATCAACAATCCACACACACACAGGACTCTCAGGTCAAATCAATGTAATGTTCTGATGGTTCTGTGGCTTAGATAATGATTTTTATCCACTGACCCAATTTACTCACAATAATAAGACCATTCTACACAAAGAAATCAGAGCATCTTACCTGAACTTCTGTCGTTCCGCTCTGCAAAACCTCGCGCTCATACAGGAAAAGGCGGGCTCCTCTGCTCTGGGCTGGTCTCTGGTTTATTAACTGTTTATTAACCGTTATGAGCCAGTTACACCAAGTAAAGCACAGTGTACACTTGTGTGTTGGAGTCAAAACCTTTTACTAAGATTTTACTTTGACCTCATTAAACTAGCAACTCATATTGTAAATATGTTGATCCAGGATAAAATCATTTTTGAACAAGGGACAAGTTTGACCTCTTCAAACCCCGAGCCTGACCTGGGGTGTTTACAGTATGTTGTGTGCTGTACTAGATACTTCTCATAGTTTATTGAGGCTGCACACTTACACTGACCCAAACAGAAGTGTGTCTGCCAAGTCTCATCAGATACCAGGACACTGCACAGCAGTGTCAGAAACACAGGTGACATTTACATTAGAAATGTTCCTTACAGCTTCCCGTAGACAGCACATCTACATGTAGCTGTAATGAACGGACTGGGCTGTTTCCCGCATTCTCATTCTTTCTGCATGACTCAGCTCAGTATTTCACAAGAGCAGCACAGAGTTGGATCAGTGTCAAATCAGACTAAAGTCCTGTCAATTTGATCACTATATATTAGAGTGAAGCCCCAAAGACACCTTTCTGTAGAGACCATGACATTCAGGTGTGATCACGTTACCTTTGGACACTGATGCCTTTTTATAGATATTTATTTAAAAGGAAGTTGATATCAGCAGCAGGTGAGAAAGCATCTAGTGGATTTGACAAAAGAAAGTCATTTTCCTGACAGATGGAAAACTTCTGGTCAAACCCACTGAATGTCCAGAGAAACAAATCCAAAAGTAGTCTACCTCTTACCTCATCTTTATCCTGCATTATTTAATCTGATGGCGGAGGGGATCACCTCATTCAGAAACATAATGACAGTAACTTCACCTGCTACAATATGTTGATCACTTCCCATCAACCTTAGCTTCATTTAAATTAAATATGATGCACCAGACACTTCAAATTAAACTTTACAGTATAAACTAATTTAAATTAAAAGTAATCAGGTTTCATGTACATCAGCTACTGACAGAACTGTCCTTTTGTAAATCGATGTGCAAAGAGCTGCAGCCTGTCAAGTGATGATCAGGTCCATTAGTGGTGTCAACAGAAGTGAGAAGACAAATACACAAACTGTTAAAACAGCATTTCTGTGCAGCACAAAGTAAACAATGAACACAAACAACGTGCATAGTAGCAACATTACCAAGGTAGACGTCTTTCTTTGAACCGACTAAATACTGGATCTCTACTCAAGTATGTTTATTCACGTTGGCAGCGGTTTTGGGATCACAGCGTCCTCTGCACAGAGACCCAGACCACCGGAGGAACCTCTGTGGTGAACTGTGCAAGTGTTCAGTCAACCACCACGTACAGAGGAAACAAAGGACCGAAGCAGCATCTCGTAGCACCGACCTCCACTGTTTGCCACCAAATGCTTCTTGCCCTTTGCATGACTCCACACATAGAGCGGCGCTCCTCAGGGCTCTACTCAAGGCCCAGAGAGAAGTTAATCCCGTGAACAATACCGATGATGATGGGTTGCCAGGCAACCAGGTACCTGAGCCAGTCAAGCAGCTGCCCGTAGAGGACATGAGTCTTCTCCCAGCTGGCAGGAGATGAAGGAATTAAGGAGAGAACCCAGATTAGATACTGAACATGACCACAACTTTGTCGGCTGGGCTGTGAAGTAAAACCCTGTGGAACCGCAAGAGAACAATAAAAGGATACGGGTTGTTCATCATTCTCTTCAAGTCGACCTTCTCGTTGCAGTACGGACACGTCTGCTTCTTACCCACGATGCACCAGCCCCGGATGCAGAACTCATGGAATCTGGGACAAGGGAAGCTAAGGAAGAGCGTTAAAATCTGTGTTTTTATATCAAAAATGTATAAAGCTACAGTTTACAAATGGCTTGCCCCATGTTGAAGTGTTTATTCCTTGAGTTTAAGACCGTACACATTAAATACTCTCCTGCATTTAGAAAAACAGCTCAGAATACTTCAGCAGAGCTCTGAGGCAGCAGGCCTCGGGTTTAAAGGTGATTAGACAGCTGAGCCGTGGTAGCTGGTCCTAAAACAAACATCATCCTCATAAACAAGGCTCCATATTGGTTTCTTTCAGCTTTACATTCTCTCACCACAATGTGAGCAGATTAAACTGGATTTACATTTGTTATACACTTGAAAACTTGAATAAACTTGTTACATAATGTTTTCCCTATTAAACTGGATTTACATTTGTTATACAATTAAAAGCTTGAATAAACCTGTTACATAATGTTTTCCCCGTTTCTTTCTGAGTGAGGTGAGAAGACTGATACCGCTGTCCTGTCTGCAGGGTAAATATAAAGCCAGCAGCTTGTTAGCTTGGCATTAAACTGGGAACAGGATGAAACAGTTAGCATGACTCCAGTAGCTTGTTAGCTTAGCATTAAACTGGGAACAGGATGAAACAGCTAGCATGACTGCAGTAGCTTGTTAGCTTAGCATTAAACTGGGAACAGGATGAAACAGCTAGCATGACTCCAGTATCCTGTTAGCTTAGCATTAAACTGGGAACAGGATGAAACAGCTAGCATGACTCTGTCCAAAGACTAAAAACACACAACTCCAACACTGTCTACTTTACACACTGCACCTTGTTTAACTCGTACAGAAGGAAATTTTAGAGAGGACTTTGTGGTTTTAGAGGGAGTTTTGTCTTGGTACTATTTCGAGGACATAGCCCTTGGTCCTTTGGAGGTCGTATATACCTACGGTATGAAAGTCGTGTAATGTAACGTGTAGTGCCACATATGAAGACGCTGCACTGAGGTACCAGGTAAATGATGAGCTGTCACTGGTTGTCGTTTGATGCTCAAACAGCTGCACAGTAACCGACTGTGACCTCTGACCTCCCCGTCACAGTTTTAGGATACATGTGTCCACAGGAGAGCTGGTAGGTGTCCTCTATGAATCCTTCCTCCTCCACCTCCACGAAGATCTTCTGTCCGCACACGGCACAAATGTCGTTGGTCAGGCTCCTGCTGGGCATGGCCCCCTTGTTGTAGTACTGAAAACACACAAGTAGAACAACACAGGTAGGATATCTGCTGTGTGCTGCAACAAAAATGATTGTCACTTTGATTAGTAGGATTCTTGACAGTTTTGCTCAAACTTCTGTGACCACAGTTCCCATAATTTCAGACGATTGTTGCCTTGGATTCAGTGAACCTGGGCCGACTGTTAATTAAAAATATGCTGAGTTACCTTTTAACACTTACTTATAAACATTAAGGCACATTCTGGAGTTAAAATAAGCATATTAGTTTCCATAATTCCAAAAGTTTATAGATGTTTCTCTGATATGCACATCAGAGTATGAAGTCATCCAAAACTACAGTAAATGATTGCCAAAGATTTTTAAGTGTTTATTCTACCAACTAAGGAAATATTAAAGTTTTCATAAGGAGTTAATAAAAAATAAATTTAAAAAAAGTCCTACCCCGATTGTAGAGGCCATGTAGTCAGAGCAGATTTCTGCGAAGTCTCTGCCCATGACGCCGTAGTAAAGCCCATAAAACAGCATGATCACACCTACGTCCATCGAGTCCTCGGCCTTGATCCTGCACCGACAGGAGAACGATCAGCTGTCTCTTAATAAGCAGAAATATTTCATGTCTCTCCAATAAAGAAACTAAACAGTGCTTAACTGAACAGAGAGACGTTTCATTGACAAGTGAGGCTCTACCAGGCTGTTACATATCCAGGCTCGATGGTCTTTTTATTAGGCTTTCAATAGGAACAGAGGGATATGTACTGTTTACCTGCCTGACCAGCCGCACAGCTGTTACAGTGCACAGACCAACATGTAATGACAACTCAAACTTAAAGCCGATTCATTGCAGGTTTCAGGGATGAATCTGTCCTAAACCTTGAATGTTTCTCTCATTTGTCCTGCAGACAAAAACTTTAACACTTGCACTGTTTTCATAGTCAGATCATCAGAGACCAGCAACACAACACAACATACACAGGTACAACATTACCGCCCCCTAGTGTTCACTGTTACAACTTAAGATGGGCTGTCCGTCGTCCGCACTGTGGTGGTGAAAAGTAAAGTTTGCATTAAGTAGCTTTTTGCATGTTTTCTTCTTGTGCATGTCTGAACAATTTGGGAAACTGTTATGATTAATTATCACTGCACCCACATCCCATATGACAGATATCCAGTCAGAATTACAGTGAATCAACACCTACAGATTAGCATTAATTAACCAACAGTGGAAACTGACTAACTTACCAACTCGTCAAAATGTTGATTTAATTTAAAAGAAAAGGTTACGTATAATTCCCAATGTCTAATCTTGTGTCACTTTATCTGTATTGAAGATCATTTTTTAAATTAACTACATGGCTGTATCTCTTATTTCCTCATTTTTTATTTTTGGTTCTTATTTGGATGGAGGCCCACTTGTATTTTACCTGTCCTGTCTCATTAGTTTAACTTCTGTGACCTGTTTTATATTTCCACAGCAGAAATAAAAACATTAAAAGAGATGAAATTAAAACACTGGATTACAGTTTAACTGCTTGACAAGATTGATTATATCAAACAGGAAAAAGGAATTTTACCAAATCTATTACAGAACTTGAAATTTCAGACATCTACCCAAGCGAATCTTGATCTACTGAGCCAATATCCATTATGTCTATGAATTTATTAGAAACAATAAATCAACATGTGACCTACTGGACTGTGACACACTGAACAGAGCTCAGTTTAACCTCCAAATAGCATCAGGAACGTCTGATTCCACTCACCGTGAGCCACGACTCACCTGAGGAAGACGTTGAAGCCGAACATGGTGAACATGATGGCCATGTAGCCGAGGATGCCCACTAAATAACTCAGCTTGTAGATCAACAGGAACCACTTGTAGACCATCCTGGAAAACAAACAGGAACATAATTAGTACGTGATCTGGATAACACTACAACAAACACATAAATGTTGGGCTTGGTTGTCAAGAAGCAGCTCTGAATTAGGCACAGCTTCAAACATACATGAACCAGGGCTGCATCTGCTTGTCATTACCGAGTCATTTGTACCTTCCTTCTCATCATTATGTCCCTAAAGTGCCAGAAAAGGATGGAGAATGTCTCCAAAGACCAGGTTCAGAGGGAAGGCAGCAAATCATTACACTCACTATTAAAAATATAAAATGTAACAAAAACATTGTTGCCAATTAATTCCCTGTTGATCGGCTGATTAATCAATTAATTGTTGCAGCTCTGTTCCAAACCTGAAAGAACTGGGGTTGAAACCAACGATGTTAATCCATTAATCTACTCCTTATTTGTCCTATTTTCCCAATACTCAGATCTGAACACATGAACACATCTACGGCAGCTGCACAGACAACTCAGTGATGAACATCTGGGCCATTTGACCATCACCTGGGGGGTCTCACCTGGGGGTCCTGCAGGACAGCGGCTTGCGGGTGGCTCTGAAGATGACGTAGCTGGTGACGACGGAGAACATGCCCCACATGGACAAGAACCTCCACCAGTACAGTCTGATGGTGAAGTAAAGAGGGACCACCCACATCTGGACCAGAGTTACCAGCTGAGGAGACAAACAGTTTACAGACCGTCTGGGTTAGAAAGAAAACCAGGTTTTCCCAGTTAGGTAAACTAAGTGTGGACAGGAGTGAAATGTCCACATCAGCTCCTGGTGTCCCGTCTCACATTGTAGGAGCGGTGGTGCCGCTGCTTCCACTGCACCAGGACGATCTGCGCCACCACCAGCGCGGCGATGAGGATGAGCACCATCTCCGCGTGCATGGCTTCGTGACCGCGGTGCTTCACGTGCAGACGCTCATGCTGCACCCTGTCGACCACAGAATAAGTGCAGGACAACACAGAGAAACACACGAGAGTCGAGGTAAAAGACGGGTTGAGAGGAAATCATAAAATTTAACCATTTATTTCAGTGTTTGCACTGACGTCTAAAATGTGGGTGCAAACGGAAAGAGGCCCCCCCACCTCCAGCTGTCTCGGTGTGTCATTTTCAGCAGGTCATCCTGCAATAAAGGTCAGAGACAAAAATAGCAGTTGGGAAGTTTGTGGGTCTCAGTGGACTGTTGAATCCAGGTTAACACAAATGTGTCTAGAAAGAAAGTCACTTTCGGCTTTTTCCGTTTTAGGAGTCGCCACAAAGAATCGTCACACTGACCCGCATGTTGATATTTGGCACGTGCTCAATGCCGGACACAAATGTGTGTAATGTCAGGATACGCTTCGTGCCATTAATCTAGTAAGACGTAGCTTCTGGTGTTTTTAACAACGCGTCTGTTGCCACGTCGAAACGGTAACAGCACTCACTCACCTGCCAAGCTAACGTTAACTAGCAAGCTAGCTGACATGTCGGCTTTTCATTAAACGATTAAAGTGTTGCCCATTAATGTGTGAAAAAAACATCAAACCCAGTTTACTTACTTGGGGATGCATATCGGCCATTGTCTCTTTCTCCCGGTGCGAGCTAACCAGCAAACTGCAGCCAGCTAGGCTAGCGGCACGGAGAACCACTGCCGGACGCAGAGTACGGAAAGCCAGAAGAGTCAAAATACGTAACGCGAGTAACTATAAGTGATGTATTCTTTAAGTCCTTATACCTGCTATATAACGACGCACAGAGAACTCAAAATACGTAACGCGAGTAACTATAACTGATGTATTCATTAGTCCTTAAACCTGCTATATAACGAGAGAAAACAAGCAAAAACAGTCTAGCACGTAAATACTATATAACGTGCACACAAAACAAACAAAAAAAACCCAGCATGAAATTAGGGTTCGATGGCTTGTGTCGCCCACTAGAGGGCAGTCTACCACATTCAAATGTGTGCATAAAATTAAATATTGGGCACATTTGTTTACAACCAGACAGCTTGATGAGATGGGAAAATTCATATTTCATTCAGTTTGTGACATGTTTATTCAAGACAAAAGAAAGTGCTCAACTCGACTTTAAACAATGGGATCTTTATTTTTTTTTTTTTAAGTAAAAAAAAAAGTGTTATAAAATATCTTCATTCTGAAGTGGAAGGGAGGAGAAACCGATTCACTGCAGCTCCTCATTTGTGGCCGACCTGTTGGAAGAAACAGACATAAACTAACAGGCAAGAGGAGAGATGGTAGCTAACAACTAGCAGTGAACTCGCTCAGACATCCAAGGAAGGTTTGTGCCATCTTTGGTCCGTAGACCTCTGGTGGAAACTACGAATGGCAGGAAAAGCGTCATCACGGCGAACTGTAGCTGTCTACACATTACAGCTGGACTGGCTTTACAAATTCAAATATTTGAAATGGCAAAATAAACAAAACATACCTGTCAATAACCACTATTGTTGATGCTCCTTTGACTGGACAGGAATTATGAAAGCAGAGACTTTCACCCTGAAAGTGACATGTAGTGACAAGTTAGATGTGAAGATCAAGAGAAAACAGATTAGAGACACTTCTTTAAAAATCGCTCAGACATCCAAGGAAGGATTGTGCCATCTTTGGTCTGTAGACCTCTGGTGGAAACTACGAATGGCAGGAAAAGACGTCATCACAGCGACTTGTGGCCCACAGACAAACAGGTTTCATAAATTACACACTGACCTCAACATAATCAGACAGTTAAACACAGGTTGTGTTCTAGTTGGAGAAATTTACCAAATTTAAAGTCAGACTTCTTCAAACCCATCTTCTTCTGTGGCCTATTACCTGTAGTACTAAAGCAACTCAAATTTTATTGAGGTAGAAAACTAAATGTTCAACGGTTCTTGAAAAAAGGTTTTCACTTTTTACAGCACACTCAAAGCGCTTTCACATTATTCGGCCAGTCACCCATTTGCACACCGGTGACATCACCGGGAGCAACTGGGGGTTCAGTGTCTTGCTCAAGGACACTTCGACATGTTGACATTTAAGATTCAGTTTACCGTTCTGTGTAACAAAGAATCCTCACATAAGAAAAGCCACACACATCTAATGTTCTGCATTTTTGTTTGGAAAAGCGAAGACCGTTAGGCCGTCAAGCGGTTTGCCTTATGATGCTTCAAGTGTCACTGCCATTAACCAGATAGTTACAGGATCACATAAGAATAAAAAGAAAAAAAACAGTAAAACTGTTCCAGCAGCAACCGGACAGTACCAGACATACACACCTGTGTCATGGACTTGTGTGGACTCAGACGATGGACCCGGCTCCATCAGAACCAGACCTTCAGATGCCATTCACAGCCCGCCTGAAAGTGAGATTTGACATTTTTTTTAAGTTACGAGGGTAAAATAGACAAAATAATCTTTGTTGCCTTGAGTCGCTCAGACATCCAAGGAAGGTTTGGGCCGTCTCTGGTCCGTAGACCTCTGGTGGAAACTACGAATGGCAGGAAAAAGCATCATCACGGCGACAAACACCGACCAGGACTTCACATATTTTAATGGCAAAACTTACACTGGCTTGATGAGCGTTGATCATCGCCACGGTCAACGATCATAGTGATTTAACCAAATGAACATCGACAGCGGCACCACAGAGACATTCACCCTGTAAGTGAGATGGAAATGACATCAGTTCTGAAATCAGCCAGATCTTCTTGAGACAGGTTCTACACTGTCACTGTTCGCTCAGACATCCAAGGAAGGTTTGGGCCATCTCTGGTCCGTAGACCTCTGGTGGAAACTACGAATGGCAGGAAAAGACGTCATCACTGCGAACTGTGACCAGCAGGACAGGTTTAGTTGTGTGATTCAGGTGAGCAAAAGGTTTTAGTAAAGCACACAGTGAACTGAGAGCAAGCAGACAGAATAAAGCTGGTTTAAGGCCACTCAGGTCACACCGGAACAAAAGGACATGAATATGTCAGGAGCTCACCAAGCGCCAACTGAATATTATATCAGATGATTTGATTAACCTGCTGATTATAACTGATCAGGAAAGTATGTTACAGTCTTCTCTAGATGTTATTATTCTTATTCTAAATCTACTCTTGACAAAATATATGCAACAGTTCTAATTATTAAATAGTGTGTTATAGACCGCAACACCCACATAGATAAACTCACCTGTCCCCAGGTTCAGTGGAGTTGATGCATTTCTGTCTCTTGCCCTTGAGGATTTAATCCCATCATCCATCTTGACACAACTGATTAGATTCGCTACGGTGTCCCTGAAGGTCACATCTGAGGTGAACCAGTATAAACCTGTTGGACAGTGACAGTATGTTCACATTACTGCGGGAAGCAGCGTTTGTGTTCACCTCACCGTTGTTGTGTTTAAAAAACGTCTGATCGTGTAAAACGTAACACCGTGACCACCTGCTAGCAACGTTAGCTGCGCCATTTTGTGCAGAGGCCTCAGGAGTTTCGGCACCGACCAGAGACGGACGGACAGAGACTACAGCGTGAACACGCCCGTAGACAGCGCGCACACGTCTCATCGGGTCAACCGTAAAAAAAACAAGAATAAAATAAAAATAAAAAACATACGAGAACACAGGTCTCAAATTAAGGTGCAGACGCAAATCAAATATGTTCTCAGGTCTTTCATGACCGACTTCATTTGATTTAATTTAATAATTCATGATGTAAGTTTGCGACTTGTTATGAAATTTAAACTGAACACGGATGTAAGGAGACGCCGGGCTCCACCACGTGTTTACCTGATGGAAGCTCAACGAACTGAAAGTTGGTTTTAATGCCTCAACTTTACAACACGTGACAATTTAATCGTTTCTGATAAATCACAAAAGTTGTATCAACATTCTGGACAGTTTTAGGACACCGGACTACAGTTTACTACGGTGACTCAGTTCTCATTAATCTTCCTGATAGCCACGGTTGTTAAAAGCATCTACCTCCAACTGTTTATGGACTTAACAACAATAACTGTTCAGTACAACGTGGTGAAATGTCTATCGAAGTCTCGACACGGGAACAATCCACAACCATCTGTAAAACAAATTCATCGTATGTAATAAACATCGCCACCTAATACTTGTACACACTGTGGTTAAGCCGTTTAATCCACAATTTAAGGTTTAAGAAGAAGATTAAACAATTATTTACAGTTAGAACTACTAAAATACTTACAGCACCTCCAGCCTCCACTTCTCCACAGGTTCAAATGACTTCCGCTGCCTCTCACGTCACTTATATACATCATGGCGGCCGAGTAA